GCAGGAAAGCTTGAGCCAGGCTAGGCAGCTATCTTATCCTGGCAGATGGGGAGGTCCTGGCAGGTTGGGGGAGCCAGGGGGCAAGGCAGTAAGAAAGGACCCCTGAGATGTGCAGGGGGTCAGACCTCACAGACGGAGGACTGGAGGAAATGCCCAGCTGCTGGAAAGCCATAGAGAGCGGCACGGCCGGACGCTGTCTTGGCGCCAATGGAGGCTGGTCAGTGTGATACTAAGTTACACCAAGAAAATAGCCAGGAGACAAATGCAGGTGGGGGTGGGCGGGCAGAGTCAGAGGGAGTGGGTATGAGTCTGTCCAAGCTGCTTCCTGAGCGTCAGACACCCAGGGCGAGGCTGTGCCGTGAGGCGTGGAGCTCGTGCCCACGGCACTGGCATCTAGGGTCAAATGGCCTGGTGGTGTCGCAGGTTTCTGAAGTCCGGGGATACCTGGAACCCCTTGGGGAGGCTTTGCAATGAATGATTCGATGAATGGCTAGAAATACAGCGTGGAGGGAAATAGGAGGGAACACAGGAGAGACAAAGCTGTCCTCAGGCCTTTCTCAGAAGCCCGGTTGGGTCAGGACAGGGTACTGGGTTCCTGGGGCTGTGACCGGACGTGGCCCTGGGAGAAGACACCAGGACTGGCCACAAGGACACAGGACAAGAGCTCGGGGCCAGGAAAGGAAGATGCCAAAAGCATAGTTTTCCAAAGGGGGAAACTAGGCCGGCGACCTGAGGCCAGCGTCCTGAGGCCGGCGACTCCTTCCAGGAACCCACGGGGACTAGGGGCCGAATGAGGCTGGGACCCTATGAGCAAAGTGCCTTGAATCATGTTGTCTCATGTCAGTGCACAGGTGAAGCTGGGCTTATGCAGTAACACAGAATAAAGCACGGAGCCTGGGACTACCGCCGACCGTGAGCCCTGAAGCCCGTCAGGAGGACGCGCGGGACTGACCATCCCCATCGATGTCCACGGAGCAGGCGTCGCCCTCCCCATTGCTGTCCGTGTCGATCTGCGCCAGGTTGTGCACATAGGGGCAGTTGTCACAGCGGTCCCCAACCTCGTCTTTGTCGTAGTCAAACTGACGTGGGTTGAAGACAAGCTGGCAGTTGTCCTAGAGAGAAAGCGAGGGAAGAATTTAAGAAATAGGGTAGGGATGTTTGTTGAATTGCTTATAAATTGGCTTAGCACTTACAAGCTATGTATTCAAAATAGATCAAGATGATCAAGGTAGCAATAAAGTACCTTGGCAAAGGTAGCCATTGCTGACACTTTCTTGATATCGAATCATTTGATAATTATTGATGCATCTGTTCCTATGAAAAATTTTGATATTCTCTGTAGCAAAGGTGATCTAGCACATATTTCATGGTGAGGATAGAAACATAAATGTCAAGGGGATGAATGAATGAATGAGTTAATGGATCAGTGGAAGCCAGATGCAGTAAACCTGTGAATAAGTTAGCCTCTCTATCTCTGCTAGTGCTGAATTACCGACTAACATGTCAGATCACTTATGTTTGCAACACTTCTCTCGGGAAATGGTAACATCCAAATTCTGCCCTAAAGGCAGGGAGTGGCAATATCACTCATCCCACGCAGCCCCCGTCGCTGGCACCCACCCCAGAAGCAGGGGGGATAAGTCCCTTTTATGCAACTAAAGGTAAACTAAACCACTGTAAGCGCTTCTGGCAGAGCACCCCAGGTGGCTCCATGCTCGGGCTGCCTCGTGTGCTTGTGCGAAGGACAGACGTTCCCTGTCGGTGACTTTCCGTTACTAGCGCAGGAGCGCTAAACGCGGCAGTTCACGGGGACCCCTGGGTGCAGAGCACTGCGCTCCCCCGCTCCTCAACCCAAGGGCATGTGCCCAGGTGGTGCGGACCCACCTTCTCATCGCTGACGCCGTCGTTGTCATCGTCATCGTCACAGGCGTCCCCGATGCCGTCCTTGTCAAAGTCTTCTTGCCCAGAGTTAGGCAGGAGGGGGCAGTTGTCCTGCAAGCAGAGGAAGCAGGCTAGCTACAAAAACATTCCCAAAAGCCCGCTTCTTTCAGATGAGATGATGAGGGCGGAGCCGGCGACATCACGCCAGGCACCTGTCCTCGCGGGAGCAGGACGGAGACCCGCGGCGGAGCCAGGGGCCCCGCATTTCCCCTCAGCTGCTGCTCTAGGACCGACATCACCACCACCAGTGAGTTGAGGCAAAAGAAGCCTGTATCCTGAGCTCGGGATCCCTGTATGCAGCTGAACGACTGCGGGAACCAGGAGAGAATGAAAATACAGGACAGGGCAGAGCCCCCGTCCCACTGCTTCCCACAAACTCCAAGCATCCATCCAAAAGCCAAGGTCATCAACCTTCAACCCTCACTAGCCAACAGGTGGCCTAGAGTCTCTATTCAGGAACCGAGGCGCAGCTCCCCAAACCATCTCCCTGATTCAGCTCTGCCCAAGAAGTGGGAAAAAAGTCATTTTGTTTCAGTCCAATGATATAAGGACTCAAACCCGAGCTGTACAGACACCGCAGCCTGAGGGAGCTGGAAACATCAGGAGAGGGTCCACGTGAAGGTTTCGATGCCATTAACACAGGTGTCCCAGAAGCCCCAGGGGTTCAAGGGGGTCAGGGGTCTGATCAGAAGCATAGCCCAGGGCCACGTCTGGAGCCAAGCTTCAACTCCAGCCTGTGAAGGAGAGCATATTCCCGTGGTGTGGACACAGGTCCTGACGGAGGGATTCAGCACCTTTGCAGGGATGAGTGAGGGGACCTCTCAGACGGGGTGAGGGGGCTTCCCATGAACTGTCTTACTTTTGCATCTGTTTGTTCCCATAAGTTATATTTAATGCAAATATAATGTGCAAATTTTGATGTGCTACCTTTTTAGTTATTAAATTCCTGTCTGAAGCTCCACAAAAATGAAAAAAAAAGGGGGTCCTTAGCCTCGTGGACACCTTCCATTGTTCCTGCTACGGTACCAGGGCATCCTGGGTCCCTAGTAGAAATCTTCATCAATAATCGCATCCAATAAGCACCCACTTCCTGCGGGGATTTCCAAGCTTGACACCTGACCTTGTTAGGTCAGGGAAGGTGGTCCGGGAGATACAATGAAGGTTGCAAACTTTGTCTCTGTTATTTCAAAGCAGATTCACTTTTTGTTTCAGTCAACATCTGCCATCTTTAATCAAGAGGGCGAAAGATAAAATTTAAAACTCTCTTACTCAAAATTCACAAGAATAAATAAATATTAAATAGATTAATATATTTATATTTGCAAGTAATGTTTTTTGTGAGTTTGTAGTATTTATGCTTCTGAAGTTCCTAAGGTATAAAACTTCACTAAAACGTTTTGGTACACCCTGTTTAGTGGTCTGAATGGTGGTCCCCTAAATATATGCCATGTCTTAACCTCTAGAACCTATAAATGTTACCTTAGATAGCAAAAGAGTGGCTATCACCTTACATGGTAAAGTTAATATCACCTTATATGCAAAAGATGTGCTTGATATAAGGGTCTTGAAAGGACGAGTTTACCCTGGAGTATCCAGATGGGCCCTAAATACAGCCACACGTGTCCTTATAAGGGCGTCAGGGGGAGTTTGAGACACAGATGCACAGAGGAGCAGGCAGAAGCAGAGGCTGGGGCGATGTGTCCACAAGCCATGGACACCTGGAGGGCCCAGAAGCTGGGAGAGGTTGGAAGGACCCTCCCCTGGGGGCTCCAGGGGAGCTCAGCCCTGCCACACCTTGACCTCAGACTCCTGGCTCCGGACCGTGAGAGGATGGAGTCCTGCTGTTTAAAGCCACCAGGTTTGTGGTCATTGGCTGCAGTGGCCCCAGGAAAGGACTCCACCCCGTTACAGGCCCTAAGGAAGCCCCACTCACCCGGGGCCCCTAACCGCTTCCTGTGTGCAGCACATGGGGGTCTTTGCAAAGAAAATTGTGTGCTAGGCTCTGTGTGACCATAGCCCAGCCCACCTGCAGACCTCAGGCCCCCATAGCCTTGGAGGAGGGTGGGGCCTGTTTACATCGCCCCACCCCCAATGATTTCAAGCCCCTCTTTGTATTCAGTTAACAAACATGTACTAGGCTCCGCGTCCTCTCCCAGCTCTCAACGATCAGCTGCTTTTCCAGAGTGATCCTGGAATCTGCAGAAACCCACTAGGCAGACGCCTTGGAGGGGCTAGTGGGTGGGCAGTGACACCCCAGCTCCCGTCAGCTTCTGGGGTGGGGACCACGCAGAGTGCAGGGCCCATGTGGAGCCTCTGACTGTTTGGACCCGTAGAGGCACCTCCAGGGACACAGCTGCCCCGAGCTGGAACCGCTGGGGCCTGAGGAAGGGGGAGCCCCTGCCACACCCTCACCTTGATGCAGTGGTAGGTGGCGTTGGTGGCGCAGACCAGGTTCTTGTTGGGCCAGCCATCCAGGTCTGAATCCTCCCCGCAGATGAGCCCGTCACCCGCGTAGCCCGTCTGGCACTCGCACTTGTACATGGGGTCGCTGAAGTGGCCCAGGTAGATGCACTCCGCATGCCTGTGGCAGTTGTGGCTTTTGTCCTTGCAGGGGTCCTCAGGCTCACACAGCTGCGGGAGGGCCGAAGCGTGTTAGGACGCGTGCTGACCCTGACCCTGACCCTGACCCTGACGGGAGGGCCGCGTGCAGGGCGCAGGGCTCCCGGCCGCCCACGGGATGCTGAGGAGGGGGCAGCGTCCAGAGACCCAGGGCTCTGCTCCCCTGGAAGGTCTCGAGCAAGAGCAAGATCACGTCAGGCCTCCGGTGGCGCCTGGGGTCACGTGGAGACCACGAGTCCCCACCCTGGCCCTCTGGGATGCTGTGCGTGAAAACTCAGCCCTGTGGTCCCTGCGAGTGGGGTCGCGCTGGCCGGCAGAGTGAGACCGTCTCTCCCCCAGGCCGCCGAACCTGCTCCCGTCCCGTCCACCCTCCAGTCCCAGCTCCCGCCTGACTGTCCTGCTGTCTCTAACGGGAGCTCAGAAGGCCGAGCCGCTCACCTGCTTCTCCGTCCTGGCCGCCTCCAGGCCGACGCCGAAAGGCTGGCTCCCCTTGTAGCGCGGGGGGCAGGGCAGGCAGTGGAAGCCGGGGTTGGTGTTGACGCAACGGTGCGCCTTGCTGGTCGTGAAGCACACGTCGGTGACCACAGCACACTGCGGGGACCAGCGGGCCAGACGTGAGCCCACGCTCCCCACCTCCGAGGGACGCCCCGCCGCCTGGGGAGGGGGCACCCACCTCGTCCAGGTCTTCGCAGTGGGTGCCGTTGCCCAGGAAGCCCAGCGGGCAAGAGCCGCAGGACCAGGACCCGTCAGGGAAGCTGCGGCACTCGGCTCCGGGGAAGCAGGGGTTGGACAAGCAGCCGTCTGCACGGAGGAAGCAGAGTAGAGTCAGCAGCCGCCACCAGGTAGCGCCGTAATGAACCCACACACGAGGCCCGGGTGATGCCCTTCACACACTCTGGGGCTCAGCTGTGGCGAAACTGATTGAGTTAGGAAGATGCTGGGGACAGCCACCAAAAGTCACCACCTCCAAGAGTAAAGAGTCGGAGATGTAGAGGGTGACGGGGCCCGCGTGCTCTGTGACCGCACTACCTACGATGCTCCATTCTGCGCGGCATGCTTTCTGCTTTTATGTAAAAATGCCAGAGGACACAAAGCAGAGGGTAAAGCTTCATGTGTGTAGAACGGATTTTTCTTCTCTGTATTTTCCAAGCATTTTTATACATTTAATCAGAATTAAAACCCAATGATGTCTTCAAAGACTCCTGCGGCTGGAGCGTCCAGGCCCCACGACAGATGCCCGTCGGCCGAAAGGCTGGAGGCTGCGGGCCCGTCCCGTGCACACCCACCTGCGGGGCAGCTCCTCCTGTTACACATCTGATGCTCCGTGACGTCGCCGACGCAGTCCTTCCCTCCGTGCTGGGGCTCCGGGCTGTTACAGATGCGCGTCCGCTCCCGGATCCCTCCGGCACAGGTGACCGTGCAGGCCGACCATGGGGACCAGGGGCTCCACCGACCGTCGACTGGGGGAGAGAAGACAGAGGGGTCACTCGGGGGGCACGGACTGTGCTGGGGGCTCAGGACAAAGAGCCTGGGATAAGGCCACGCCTCCACACGTGGAGGAAACCTGGTAGGAAAGTCCTCTCAGGACTGTATGGTCAGGGAGGGATGCAGATGATGACAATTCACTTGTTTTTGTTTTGTCTCCGGGAAGGGAAATCACACAATCTTCTGTGCTCAGAACCTGGGACCATTGACTGGGGGCCGCTGGCTATGGGTCCACCCCTGCCACGGGCAAGAGGTGCTCACGTCTGAAAAGCTGCGCGGAGCTGAGTTTCATTTTAAAAGGCTGTCACTCATCATCAGTACAGATAACTCAGTAGAGAGGAGAATCCCAGCACAGCCTTTTCTGGGTGAAGACGCTGCCCAAGTCCAGAGCAGGCCTGGTGTGGGGAGCATGTGTCCTCCCAAACCCAGGCTCCAGATGCCCCAGATGCAGGGGGGCCGCCTCCTGAGACCCCCCTCCTGTACCTGCTGTCACCTCCCCCTCGGTCCCGGCCTATTTCTGCTCCATCGTGGATTAACTGGAGCTTGTTCAGGGGAGGTCAGAGCTGAGCACCGCAATGGGCATCCACCCCAAGGCCCAGCTTCCAGAAACCAGCCGACCGAGAGGATCCCAGTGCCCTGACCTCGCGGGGACGCACTGGGCCTGTGTCCTGCTAAAGGCCGGCCCCGAGCCCAGACCCCGCCCTTGTCCACTCACCCGGGCAGGGCGGGCCCTGGCAGGCCTTGGTCTCGCGGCCACCACCCTTGCAGCTCCGCCCGCCCATCTGCGGCACTGGTGAGTTGCAGAGCCGGATGCGGGTGACATTGCCGACCCCACAGGTCACGGAACAGGAGGACCACGGCGACCAGTGGCTCCAGCCACCATCCTGCCGGACTAGTGCATGGAGGGAACAAGGACATCAGAGGCTCAGGGCGCTGAGTGAAAGGCGGGGCTGACCCATCCCGGAAGTCTGCTCATCAACCAGGCAGGAGTGGGGAGCCCAGCTGGGGAAGAGCAGGGTGCGTGGGCCACGTGGAGCACCTCCCAGAAAGGGCAGCAGCAGGGGGTCTCTGGACCCCCAAGACCCCAGGGGCTCGGCCCTGTCCCCCACCCCGGGCCAGCCCGGCCTCTGACACTCACTGCGGTGGTCGCACTTGCCCAGGCTGCACGACCGCGTCTGGATGGATGGCCCCAGGCAGGTGTTACTGGTGACGTCACAGGACCGCCCCCTCTGCTGGGTGCCAGGCCCGCAGGTGGCAGAGCACTCCGTCCACTCCGCCCATGGGGACCAGCCGTCCTCGCCGTCTGCTGGGGGGAACACCACTGCCCATCAGACCTCCCCAGAGACTGCCCCACACAGCAGAGCCCAGCCCTGGGCTCCGAGCTGGATGCCCCAGGTGGGTGCTGGCAGTGGGCAGACAGCAGGGCCGCCCCACGTCTGTCCCAGGGTCGGAGCGCAGGGGCCGCCCTCCCAGGAAAGGGGAAGCAGGGGGATGCACAAGGAGCTTGGCCAGAAACGCAGTGTCTACTGGCAGGAAAGGGGTCTGTGGATGCTTCTAACGGCTTCACAAAGGAGAGCACTGAACCCTGCCTGCACAAGGTTTCGCTGGAGTTGCTAAGATGTAAGTTATTTCCACCTGAACCTCCATGTGCTGATTTATATATGGTGATGAAATCTCAATTTTTGGTTGAAATTACAGGACACTAAATTTCATTCCAAATACTTTAAATTGGAACAAGTTAAATAAAAAGGCAATTTCTTGCCAAGAAATTCTTCACAGGAAATTATCAATCTCTGAATAACAGAAAAGTTGTACCCTTAATGCAAGAGATCTTTCTGGTAAATAGTAAATGCTGTGATTCAACGTCTCAGAAGCAGCAAGAGAAGAACTTGAGGAGACCCTTCCTGGGCTTTTACTCAACAACATGAAACGGCTCCCTCTGGGCAAAAGTGGACACTCAGGCTCCCGCAATCACACTGTTACTCTCTGTAGCATGTCCGATTTGGTCTCTGTTTAACACCTAATATACATCAGGCACTTTTGTACATATTGTGCTGTTTATTTTCATCCTAAAACTAACCCTGTGTCATGGGGACACTCATTCTGTATTCTACTGATGAAGAATCTGAAACCTGGGAAAGCCACATTTCGCTCAGATTCATGGAGGGGCAGAGCCTGTGCTCACGTCCTTGGGCTCCCCGAACACGGAAGCTGCCCAGCCCCACCCGGGGCACCAGACTCAAGGACCCGCAGACCAGGATGAGGGCCAGACAGTGAAAGACAAACAGGACACGCAGAGCAGCAACCGATTCAGTCAACGCTGCCGGTGACACCACGAGGAAGGGGGCGGGGATCCGGTGTGAAGGAGGCTCAGATGCTCCAGGGTCAGCTAGGGGAGGGCGACGCGGGACTCGAAACAGAGGCGGGGGTTTTGGCTTTGGACCAGCACAGGAGGGAAGGCTGAGGAGGACCAGGACCCCGGAGCCACGAGCATCTGGGCGCTTCAGGAGGACCTCGGAGCCCCGGCCCCTGCGAGACCGTCCGACACACACACGCACGGTCACACAGCCGGGGCCGCCGGGGCCGAGGCCGCCGCCCGCCCGCCGGGCACTCACCATGGAAGCAGGAGGGACAGCACTCGCCGTCCACAAACGACGGGTCGGCGCACGTGGCGGGAGGGCAGCTGATCTGGTGGCAAACGGTTTTAAATTTCTACAAGGAAAAGAGGCATTTATGTCACTTATTTAGGAACGTGAACACTGACCCAGGGCTGGACTGGAAGGGTCGGCAGGAAGGCTGGAGGTCTCTGCCCGCAGACCCCGCCGGTTACAGGGACGGGAGCGCATCTCTCGCCGCGCGCACACTCCTTTCTTCGTCCGCGGGCACGGGGCCTTCCGCGCGCTGCGGGTGGGGGGACGCGCAAGGTGGCAGCGGCGTCTGGTGTCCAGGCCCCCAGCAGTGGAGACCAGGTGGCAGGACACAAGGAAACCAAGCGTCAGGTCGTGCCGTGGGCAGTGACCCCATCCCCAGCAGCTTGTGCCGAACCCAAGGTGCTCGCAGGACCGAGTGGCCTCAAACACAAATATGCGGGGGACCGGCCAGCCACCGGGTGACACTGGCTGCACCCTCCCCGGCTCTCTGGGCTCAGAACCACGGGGCCACTCGGGCCTCATTGGAGGTGGCCCCCTTCCCCACGCCCCACGCGTGGCACGGGGAGAAGAGAGCGGGAAGCCTCCAGCCCGGGGCCGCTGCCAGGAGACCATGTGCCCGTCTCACCTTGCAGGTGCACTTGGTGCAGCTGTCCACCACCCAGGTTTCATTTTCCGCAAAGAACCTGCCGTCCTGCAAGCAGGCGGACATGTTCCTGGTCTTGGGGGGTCCTCCAATGAGCTCCCAGAGAAACCGGTTGTCATTAGACTGGAAAGTGGAGGGAAGGAGGTCAGCACAGCCGCAGCAGACTCTGCAGCCATTGCACACGGGCGGATGCAGGACGTGCAGTCGTGAAGGAGCCTCATGCTGGACCACGGGGGACGGGGTCCCTCCCACCGCCCACAGCTGAAAACTAAGGTTCAATTCTTGAATTCACACATTCTTCCAAGTGTGACAGACACGGCTCTGATAGCACAACGGCAAAGGCAAACAGACATAAGCCCTGCTGTCATGGGGGTTACAGACTGCAGGAAACAATGCAAAGTTTAAAAGAAAATCAACTAAGTGAAAGTTACACCATTTGTCCCCTGAGCACGTGTGTTGTCACCTCCCTCCTTCTAGGCACCCTGCTCCCACTAACATCTCTGATCTGGGGATAATGGGCGCTTTGAGAATCACCCAAAAGATATGCCCCCCCCTTGTTCTGGCGCAAAATGGACAGAAACACACCATCCGGACGTTTTTGTGTGATTCAGCGAGCTGGCGAATTTCCTTAATCCCCAACTCCAATGTAGGAAAACTCCCGAAGCTCTTTTCAGCTGAAAGCGAGACGCGTCAGGGGCAAAGGCTCCCCCGCTCCTGTCTCGGCCTCCCTCTGCAGCCCCTCCCCCGCCGGGACCCCCGGAAGCCACCGGCACCAGCAGGGCTGAGGCTCTGTGTCCTGAAGCAGCCAGTTAGAGGTCACACGCCACGTGCAGCTCGTGGGAAGGTCCTCCGCGTTTACGAAGATCCCCGCCCAGCAGGGCCCCCGCCTGCGGGTGTCCCTGGTCTCAGCGCCCCCAGCCCTGGAGGCTCCCTGAGGTGGTGAGCGCTGGGTGGGGAGGTTGCTCTCCCCCACCCCCCACCCCGCTCCTGCCCCCACCCAGCATATGGTAGAACATTCCAGAAGCCACACTCATCGTGGGTACTGCCCAGCCAGCGCCCTAGCTGGAGCGGAAGTGAGCCATCCAGGGCCCTTGGGTGGAGCAGAGCCCCAGGGGCCTGGGGACCCCCTCCCCTCTGGTATATTCTTTCCCTCGGAGCCGCCCCGGGCCACAAGCTTCCTTCAGGCTGAGCTCAGGTCTACATCACGGGAGGATGGGCCAACGGAGGCTGCTTACTGCCAGCAACCTGCTCTGAGCCCTAAGGCGCGCCTCCTAAGACCTGAGGCACGTGTTCTGCCCCTTGACGTGCTGCCGAGAGGAAAACCAATTTGCCTGTTACGACCTCATGCCTTCAGGGACAGGCTCCGCTCTGAACGCCATTCTTTAGATGAACGTACCTCCCTCGTGTGCAGGCTTTCTGTTTCCTGGGAGACGAACCCCCAGGGTTGAAGGACTGAGAGGAAGGCTCGTGGCCCGTGAGCACATTTGCCATAAGCATACCCGCCCTCCAGCCACACGGCATTTAACCACATCCCGGACCGTCAGCCTGGTCGCCCAGGGAGCCGGGTGGTTACTCCTGGCTAGCAGTGGCTAGTCGGGGGTAGTGGTGGATAGAGTGCTGGTTAACGGTGGATAGTCGAGGTTACTCGTGGTTAGAGAAGGGTCCCCGGGGCACCCACCACTTTGCGCAGGTTCTCGTGGAGCTGGTTCACGATGACGTGCAGCCCTGACAGCTCCCTGATCAAGCTGCCCAGCTCCTCGCAGGAGTGCTCGCACACCTCCAGGCCCTTGGCCTCACTCCGGCCCACGTGCTCCATGGAGACTGGGGGGCTCAGGTGCAGCGTCTCCGTGTTCTCGCTGATGGCGTTGGCTTCGGCTGTGGGGAAGACGCGGAACGGTGAGCCCGCTGGCCTCTGGCCACAGCCTGGCCGGGCCCGCGGGGCGCTATCTGGAGCACTTGGGCTACATGGGCGCCCAAGAACCCGAGAGCTGGTGGAGGTGTTTCCCGTTACGGCCCGGCTTGTACCAGAGGGCACTGCTTACCTCACAGCACCGTGGGGACTGAGCCTCAGACACCACCCATGAGCAGAGCGAACGGTCAGCTCAGGGATGGAAAAATGCAAAAAGCCTCAGAGACCTACATCTGCATCATGCATTGTGTTCAAACTCATTAGAGGCAACAATTTCCTGTTTTTCTTGTTTTTATATAAATATTTATATAATTTATTATCTAAGATAAGTTCCTTCTTTTTGTCCCCCACCCTAAACCTGTTTCCAGCCCCATATTCTCCATGAATTCCAACAACTCCTTTCACTCCTCATTTATCCCCTTTTTCCATCCCAAACGCCTTTTCATTTGGCTACTGCATGAAGGCAAATTCAGTTTTTTTCTTGCTAAATGAGTCATTTCATTATTTCCCTGCTGGCCTCACGAGACCCCCAGAAAGGCAGAATCCCAACCTTGGGCTCAGAGCTTACTACCCCGGAAATAGTACAAGCGCTTGGAAGTCCCTGAACATGGGACACACACACGGCTATGCCACTAGTTACAAAAGTGATCTGGGCAAGTGCCGAGATGGATGTCGCCCTCGGGGGAGGCTGGCCAGCTGGGATGTGGCCGGCAAGCCAGCCCCAGCGTCCTCTCTGCAGTGATGCTCAACTGTCTCGTCCGATACATTCCATTACTGAGTTATGACCTGTCAATATCATAATTCTGTCAGACAGTCTATGATCGAGTCTTGTTATTTGTTTGTAAATCCTTGTTGCAACTCACACTGATCCCTCAGACTCACCAGACCTAAAACCATATATAACCACACAGACATAAGCATATTAATCACTACATGTATGTAGAATAAAAATACGGCAACAATAAAAGTGCCTGGAAGTCCCACGACCGTCTCATGGAAGATGGGCAGAGCCCTTCCTCAGGATAGGACACCCCCCGTTCGTGGCATGCAGGGCAGGGACCGGGCTGAGGGCCACGTCCACTCTCCCCACCCATCAAGGGTCAAGTGCCCCCTTTCCTTTTCTCTGTCACAGAGACGTGCCCACCCCACCGGGTGACCGCTTCCAAGGATGCTAAGCTCTTATCTAGAGACAAGCAAGTCTCCCTCCATCAGGGCCCCCAGGACCATCTTCTGTTTCTCTGTGTCCTGTGGGATGTCAGTTAGTACTGTCTTAGCCTTTTTAGAACTTTTGCTTTTTTATGACCTCAGCTCCCCGCAAAAAATGTCTATGACCTAATCCGAAGGGGCTGATATTGGCATTTCAGCCGGAGCTGGCGGTTTGGGATGGGATGTGGTCCAGAGCTTCAGAGGCTGTGGTGCTCAGGGAGTTTGGAGCTGAGGGTGTGTGACAGGAGGCCTTATAAGGTCCTCTCAATGCACAGGCCACCAAAAGTCACAGTTTCATTTCTTTCCTTCCCTGAACTCAACTGGCCGACTGTGGACAGACGCACAGACTGAAAGGTGGACGGCCTCGGATGGAAAGACGTGGATGCTGCCTGCAATGCCAGTGCTCGGGGCTTCGGCCTCTGAACCGTCAAGCCAGCACTCCGGACGCTCCGGGGGCAAGGGCTGGGTCACAAAGCCGCAACTGTGCATTACAGACATCAAATCCTACGTATCCTTACGCAGGGATCCATAGGAGAACAACTTATATTTGCTTACAGTTGACATGAAGAAGCCTTTTAATGGAAGTAAATTGGAAAATGGGATCACGTGTCAGATCAGAGCCTCTTGTGTGGACTCGACCTGGGGGCGGGAGCTGCGCTGCTCCGATGCTCACAGGCCACTCCCCCGACAATTAGCGGGCCCTCCTGGCACCTCGCTTCTTTATTTGTAAAGTGAGGAAAGTGGATGAGCCCAACTCAAGGGGTTTTGAAGATGAAATGACACAACGCATTCAAAAAGCCCCAGCATAGTGACCTTTATATATCAAATGCTCAAGACAATGTTGACAAATTATGGTTGAATGTAAATTCAAAATGCAATTAACAGACAGCGTGGGATTATCTGTCAGTGATTCAGGTGGCGTCCATTTTCATAATAAGGCTGTATCAACAGTTGTGAATAGTATAAAAAACTTCCATAAACCAAATTGGACAAACATCTCTGGTGTTATCTTCCTAAGCTGATCTTCCCACATCAGTAGACTAGAATAGTTGCATGTATTTAAACTCATATTAAAACGCCAGGGATTTATTTTTTGGCATGTAAAATGGATTATATTGGATAATTAAAATATATTCATAATTAATCCTTCAAGCAATGTATTGTTTCGGAGGCCAACCCATCCAAGCTGACCAGCGAACTCATTCAAGGCCATGGCGGCACTTGAACCATATTCCAACATGTTTACTTATGTCCCACCGGCCCCTCCCCACACACCAAAGGAGGACCCCCTCAGAGGTGGGACGTGGGGCACCACACGCAGCTCAGACACCTACCTCCCTGGCTTTGCTGGCAACCTTTCTTGCTCAGAAGATCTTCCACTGAGTTTTCAAACACTAAGTAGACGTTCTGCAGCAAACCCTGAAATATGTACAAGGAAAGAAACAGAGATGGATAAACAGCGAATGTTCAATGCCACATTAAACGATGTTTCAAAAATACAGGATGTAACCTTATAGCAGTGAGAACATTTTCTTCTGTGCTTTTATCCTCAGCAGGTCTGAAATCTCATTAATGGGTTATCTGTGTGTTACTTTGAAGCTTCGTTTGAGGCAAGAGGCAGGCAGTGAGGTTGACCAGAGGAGAAGGAAGAGTGTCTTAGAGAAGCTGTGGTGGCCCCGGAGGGACGGCCAGGGCTGTCTTCTGAGCGCGCCCAGGGGACAGCGGGGGCCACACTCTCTCCGCAGGGGACTCTGCCGGTGCCTGGTGTTCCCGCCCGCGGCCGTGGGTCTCGGGAACGTGCACTGCTCCAACCACAGAACAGACGGTACAGCTATGAGGCCAGGCCATCCTCCCGGTGACAGTGAGGGGTTTGTCCCGGGGGGGCCAGTCAGCCACGTGGGCCTGGGGGGGCTTCTTGACAATGGCCAGAGACCACGACCAGCATCTCTAGGCCTTTACTGAAATAACTGAGTCTAATCATACATTTATTTCCAAAGAATACACACACACCTGGAGAATAGTTACTAACCCTCCACTGCATGTTCTAAACAGTTGCATTTAGAGAGATCCTCTTGTAAAAAATATTATAACTGAGGTGAACGTGGAACTATTCCCTCATAAATCAATAGTCCCTTCCTTAGAAAACATAGTTTTCTCCCCTGTCTTCCTGTCATGTCGGTACTGAACTGGAATCTGGGGCTCTGGGGTTATAGAGACCTTTGCATGGGGCTGCTCCCTCAATCATCAAATCAATCTTCACTCAGGAAATCGGTGACCATTTGTGCAGCTAAGAAAGGGCACCTGTGACAGCTTGCTCTGCTCATTCCTGGTTCAGAAAGCCGTGTGTGCCGTGTGTGCACGTAAGAGCGTCTATGAGTGTGTGTGCAAGCATGTGTATACGTGTATAGTGCGTGCACGTGTACATGATTGCATGTGCCAGTGGGTGTGCACTGTGCACGTGGAGCTTGTGTGGGTAGGTGCACGTGTGTCTGCTTCTCCGAGGCCACACCCGACCCCTGCACAAGGCAGCGCACTAAGCGGGGCCCGCGGCTGCGTCCCGCACAACCTACCCGGAAGTGACTCTCTCGGGCGGGGCCCTTGGCCACGTACATCCTGCTCTTCTCGGTCTTCAGCTGCTCGTAAAAGGGCTCGTCCAGCGTGAAGCTGTCCATCAGGTCGCAGCCCACGTAGAGGCTGTAGGTCTCTCCGGTCACCTGCACAGTGATGTTCTTCCACTGGGAATCAGCCAGGCCCACGTCCTCCAGGGAGATGACGTGCTGGGTGCCGTCCACCCAGTACGTGAGGTCCAGGGTGTCGGCGGGGCCGTTGGACACGATCTCGAACTGCCTGTGTGTGGCGCCTGGGCCCTCCAGCGCCAGCAGGGTGCCCCTGGACTTGCGGTCCTGCTTCAGGCTGGCCGTCAGGAAAAAGCCCTCCTTCCGCCGCATGGCCTCGGCGATCCGACCCAGGTGCTCCGCGCTCACCGGAGGGATATAGTCAAAGCGCACGAAGCGGTAGGCGGGCGCGCTGGGGTCCGGGCCCCGGAACTGCTTGGCCCCGATGGTCTTGCGGTTGATGCTGCTGATTCTGAAGAGGTCAAAGGCCGTGTCCTCGTCCTGGTCGCCGGCTGCCCGGGGAGCAGAGCAAGAGGGTCACGGGGAGTAGCAGGCACAGGCACCCTCATCTCGGGGCCCCAAGTCCGCCCCTTCCTCGCCTGGGTGCTCGGGCTTTATTCCTCGAAAACCACCGCTGCCTCCACCCCCGCCCAGACATCTGCTTCCACAGGACCAGCTCCGCCCTTGACCAGTCAGGGGCCCTCTGCTCAGACCAGCTGACCCTTTGCCCAGCAAGCCTTCCTCCAGGACGGATTTAGCATTCGGGTCATGCTCGGGCCCACCTGCTCCTGGACCAGGACCCTGGCCGCCTGCTCTTTCCTGCTCTTCCACCCAGAGCTGAAGCTCGAAGGCGACCTTCTTTCTAGCCTCTGATGCCCAGAAGGGCATCCTGCAGGGAAGTGCACCTCCACTCTTGCCACTGGCGCATTATTAGAAAGCAGTTACATTCCATGTCGCTTTCTTAGACAGATCAGTTGGCTTGAGCTTGTCACGTGGGAACCCCTTATTTTGTAGAAAGACGTGCTCCCACTCAGGGCTCACCCTGCGGGGGAGCATCTGAGAGATGATGAGCCGTAAGGCCACAAATGAATGGTTTTAAGTCACCGTCTAAACTACTGGGAAGAGTTGTTGTCAGACCTCCCCAAATCCTAACACTTTAAGTCATTCACAATAATTTTCTGAACAGAAAGTTTAAACAGAGAATAACTTTTCATCTAATACTTGGCAAATTAAAGCATTATAATACACAGTGTTGCTGATAGAAGTGTCATTTTACTACCTGCAGTAGAGCTATGTGCCCATATATCAAAAATCCTTAAAATAATTAAAACCTTTGACTCAGCAATTTTACTTCGGGAAGCTATCCTAAATATATAATCACAGACTCTAGGATATATGTATTCACAGCAGTATTTCATGAGGCATCATTTATACTAGTGTAGATGGGATGTGTAAAGTAAACGGGAATTGACCTAAAAATACTGGGGGTTACCTTCTAATGGAATATTATACAGTCATTAAAAATCATGTTGTAAGAAAAGAAACACATGGAAAAATAGTTTTGATACATTTTTAAGAGCAAAAAAACAGTGGGAAGGAAATAAGTTATAAAACACCAAAAAGTTTAGTATGCTGTAAATATCACATATGAAAAAAGGCAAAAAGTGCCTAGCAAAAGACTGCATCTCCAGGTCAGAGGGTATCTTTCTCTACCACCTGGATTTTCCAAAAATAAATGATTTCCTGGTGTATGGACTCAAAAGTAATTGGGGATTTATCTTAAACTAAGTTAAGAAGTTTCCATCCAGGCCTCCACTTTGTCCATCCCTCCGCCCACAGGTGAGGCTTTTGCTCCGGGATCCCAGGTCACTGGCGGGGCGGGGGGGGGGGGGGGGGG